AGAGTGAGTAAGAATGTATGCAGAGAGTAAATATAACCACGAGGTGCCCTATAAATCAATACCCAATATTGATAGCAGTCTCCATCTTGTCTCCTGTCAAAACCCAAATCTTTATTCCTGCTTGAGCAAGCTTATCAATACAACCAGGAACCTGGAAGAAGCCAAAAGAGAAAATGAAAAAAAAAATCACTCACCAATCTGTAATTTTGGTTGTGTAATAGCAGCTTACCCCATTTTGGAGTTTATCCTCAACAGCGGTAGCTCCAAGAAGAACCAGATCTTTCTCAATCTTCTCAGTGACTTCATCTATCAGTGCTTCTCGATCAGCACTAACCGAACTCTTAGCCTCACTGATTCTCTCAGTGAACACCTCGTATTCTTTCTCATCGAGTTCACGGTAAGCAAGTATCAAAGTTCTCAGTCCAGCATCAGCATACTCGTTCACATGGTCTCGTGTTTCCACTTCGTACTCTCTACCGTTTCCGGAAAGTCTTTCAAACATGACACTGCGTGATAAAAGAAGTTTAAAACCAAGTCCGGAAAGAGGTTTCTAAAATCATGATAGCATACCTGTCTGCCCCTTTACAAAGTAAAAGGAGTTTTCCATCTTCATCTCGCACTATCACTGACATTCTTTTCCTTGAGCTACTGAACTCAAGAACGTTCAGGACTTTATACATCCTGCAAAAGAGAAACCATTCTCGTTAAAGTAAGAAACATAGAGAAGCTTACTAAAGAAGAGAAGATGGAAAAACCTTTCAACTCGTCCACCAGTCACAACGTCTAGCTCTCTAACAGATATTGTTGTCTGAGTCCGAATAAAAAACTCAAACCCAAGCTCTCTAGCTGCAATAACAAACGCTGCCTCGTCCGGTGATTCAGCCTCGTAGGAGATCTTCCCTGTATCTTCATTCACCTCAGGTATCACTGTATGACACACTGCCAATAAACGAAAGAACTTTTGAATGACATCAGCATGTGCTTCCCTAACCCAGTTACCATTCATTATCCTCTCATCTCTGAAGTTGAATCCCTTCACTGCCGGTTCTGCAGCAACATCATATTCATTACCATTTCCATTGCTCCTACCCACAGCCATCTCCACCTCTGTAACGCCACGCCCATACGCTGTCCCAGCAATAGAGCATTTTATAAACTCCATGGAGTTACACGTCAGTGTACCCGTCTTGTCTGAAAGAACTGTACCCACTTGCCCAAGCTCTTCATTCAAATTAGAGGTACGTGCCAGTGCCGGCTTGTCAGCTTCCTCGTAATACATATGGATATCTTTATTGATGAAGATGCTCTGAAGAACTTTGACAATCTCTATCGACACATACAAGGATATAGGGATGAAATAACTGTTTAGCATCAGGGCAGAAAGAAAGTGACAGACTGCAGCCATAAGCGCCCGCTGTGGATCAAAGAAGATGGTTGAATCATCTGGTTTCAGATACCATCTTGTCATGATGCCATTCTGGTAATCTTCTCTCGTTGCTATTCCAAACAAAATCGCACCAAAAAATGCCAATGAGACGACCATAAGGAACATCAGGTATATAATCTTATCCATCTTCCTCTCGATCATGCTTCTCTTTGAAGGAGGCTCTGTTGAGTTCTGAACAACCTTTGTATCAGGACCCGTGAAGATAACAGCCCCATAGATATAGTCTGTGTTCCTGAGTTTTGATCCTCTTAGGAGAAGCTGTTGTGGTGAGAGAGGGTACTTGGCTCCTTTAAGCTCCATAGTGCCAACAAAGGAATACAAGTTTGCGTTAGGATCCTCGCATTTGATGAAAGCCTCAAAGTCCTTGAAGTCAGCCTCTTCACGCAGTGGCATGGTTACTTCTAGTCCTTGTTTAAGTTTCAGATTTGTCTCCCCGTCAAGGTTCATTGTCTCTACGTAACAAACAGCATCCTCGTAGCTAGATGAAAGCAGGACAAGGTCTGCCGGAAAGAAATCGTTTTTCTCCACTTTCAATATATCTCCAACTCTTAGTGTCTTCCATTCCTTAAAATCGAAATCCCCATTGCCTTGGTGCACTCCAACTTTTCTACTATTCACCTCAATATCCTAAAAAAAGCATAACAATTTCCATATAATGAGAAGTATATCAATCTGCAAATGAAGTAGAGAGTGATACTTCAACTACAGTTCTAACCATGGTTTTAAAAATAGGTCTAAGTAGGCCCCCGCCTAGGTGGCAATTTTATAACTGAAACAATTTTCATAAAATCTGATTTATACTATTCAAACCGGTTTAAACAATTTTAAATCAGTTTAAACCTGTTGAACTAAGTAATAATGTTAGTAGAAATCCACAAATTTGTCTAAATTCTTTGCTTTTGTATATCAAATTTTGATAATTCATCAAATTGATTTTATAATTAAAGCCAAAAAACTAATATCTTATATAAATTTATATAAAATAAAGTCCACCTAGGTCTCGTCTAGGCCTCATATAATCTGCCTAGTCGCTAGTCCTCTACAAAATGCCTAGTTACCTTCTAGCGATTTTTGAACATTGTTCTGAACATTGTAATTTAATCCAACCTAAACTACAGATCATGAACAAGATAACAAAAAATGCTTCATTCAACACAGAACATCCACTGATATCAAGTTGAACCAACAAGAAAGTTACCTGCTGTTTTCTGCGCCAGTCTTCTACACCTTCTTTAACCATAGTAGCAAGAATAACAAAAGTCAAGGGAACAATGGCGCTCACAGCTGTGTAAGGAGCAAGAGGAGTGAAAGACAAGATCCCAACGACAAGGAAGTAGAAGTTGGCGACTCTCCTGAACTGCTCAAAAAGTGATTTAGGGAGGAAACTGGCGGGCGTGTACTTGGTGGTTCTCACGTAGTTGTCGCAGTAATCAGCTGATTCAGGTTGGTTACAGTAAACCACACGAGAGAAACCAGATCGTCCGATTTGAGAATGTGCTGGCTTGAAACAAGCTTTAGCAGATAGTAGTGTGAAAATCTTGCTTAACTGTAACTTCCTCCTTTTACGCTTCCTTTCACCTCCTGCCATCGCTCTCTCTCTCTCCCACTTTCAGAATCTCTAAAACCCTGAAATTTTGAAAATTTTCAGACCAGACACGAGCAAGAAAGACAACATCTTTGGTTGTGTCTGAAAAGCATTGCACTGAAGTAAGTTGAAAACTTTTCTTATAAAATGTCGATCAATTAGCTAAATCTCTAAAACCCCTGAAAATTTGACATTTTTTCAGACTAAATCTCAGGTTCTATATTCAGACACAGACACGAACAAGAAAGACAACACCTTTAGTTGTGTCTGAATAGCATTGCACTGAAGAAAGTTGAAATTTTTTTTTATAAAATGTCGATCAAAAGCTAAATCGCTAAACCCCTGAGAATTTGACATTTTTCAGACTAAATATCAAGTTCTATAATCAGACACAGACACGAACAAGAAAGACAACATCTTTAGTTGTGTCTGAATAGCATTGCACTGAAGAAATTTCAAAACTTTTTTTTATAAAATGTCGATCAAATTAGCTAAACCGACGAAGAACATTTCAACACAAAGATGCCTAGAAAAAAAAACTGGAGAATAGAGAGAAGAGATAGTACCGATTTTTGGCAGAGGCGTTGATGAAAACAGAGAAGCTTCAAGTTTTTGATTCCTGATTTCCCGAGAAACTAAATAATTTCTCGGAAAATCTAGTGAAAATAAATGATTAATCGAGTGGATTAGGATGAGTAATGAGTATAATGAAATTAAGGAAAGAAATCTGGGGACAAGAAAGTGTGGAATCTGGAAGATTTCAAAACTGTAATCTTCTTAATTAGCGGACATGGGGTTTAAATGGTATGAACCAAAAGTCTTGGGTCTTTTAATGCTTGAAGCTAAAAAATGGGAAAAGAGAGTTTTCAACATTAATAAGTCTTTTCAAATTGTCTGTTTGGTTGACATTTGGAATGAAGACTTAGTGTTTAAAAAAAAAAAAGATTTGATTTTCTCTTCATGACATTGAGATGAAAGAAACGTTTAAGCAACTTTTCAAAATTTTCCTAGAAAAAAAAAATGAAATTTTGATGATTTAGCAAACTCTAAAGATGAAATTTCTTCTATTAGCTTCAGAATAAATTGGAGTCGGTGAGTGTGAAGGTCAAGAACGTTTTACAAACAAACAATATTGAGGGTTTGAAGCACGCACGAGTATTAAAAAAAGGGAAAAAACTTGCTTTTCATGAGAAAGACAAGAACTAAAACATGATCTTCAAAAGTGAAATCAAACATTATCTTATTGTAATGATGATGATATTTTGTTCAGATAAAACATAATATTTGTTTGAGGATAAAATAGCGATTAGTGTTTTAACCTTCTCAGGCAAAACAATCTCAAGGAAAAAAAGAGAAGGTTAAACACAAAAATGCAGGTCAATCCGATGAACTAATCCATCTCTAATTTGCCTTTTAAATTTGTTAAAAATAAATTAGTTGTTTTTTTTTGTTTGGTAAAAAGTAAAGAAAAGAAATTAGTTATTTCCATTATATAATTAGAAGGTTGGTTTTTAAATGGGAATAGAAAAGTAGATTTCTTAAAGATGGATTATGAAATAGTATTATCTGGTCTCTCTTCTTATATGAGGACATCAATAACGTGTCACGAGCGTCATCAGCCTTATTTGCTTGAAGGTCTGGATACGCGTGAACTATAACCGTCATCATTTGCTAAGATCACAGCAACCCGGAAGGCTGAAAAGGGTGTAGTACTTCACGACCAAGCTGCAAAGGTTTGATAGTTTTCAATTTTCATAATTGGAAACATAACATTACATGACACGAGAACATTTGGAATTAGGGAAACACATATAAGTTCAGAAGGCTAGAACTTGGAAGATATATATATATATATATATAACCCCCTTAATTGCAGAATATGTACGAACCAAATGTATTGGGAGTAGTGTAGTCCTGGAATGCTTTGAAATGATGAGAGGTTAGGTTTTGTGAGATTAAGATTTACTGATGCCTTGTGATTTTTTCAATGTATTGTTAGTCCGATCTTTTGGAACTGAAGGAGGGAAGAAAGATGGTGCTCAAGTTCCTCCTAGTGATAAAGTTTATGAGTGCATATTGTTCCGTGCTACTGATATCAAGGTATGTGCTAATGCATATGATGTTATTATTACTAATATCAAGGTATCCATCATGATTGTGTCACTGCTTTGATGTTTGTGCACTGATTCGTCTCGTTGTTTGCAGGATTTGCAAGTCAAAGCCTCTCCTCCAGTACAACCACCAGCTCCACCTGCTATAAATAATGACCCTGCTATCATTCAGGTGCATATGGTGGATATGTTATTGAATGATTCTGTTTGTGACCTTAGTCTTAGTTTTTTTTTATGTATCCTCATCTTGTTTTACAGTCTCACTACCCTAGCCCGATGCCTACATCGAGTAGCTTGCCTCCTGCCGCGAGCAATCCACTTGCCTGACATTAGTTCTCATAATGGGCACCCTGGACAACAACATGGGATGAGATTTCAAAACTCTATGCCTATGTATCAGCCTGGTGGGAATCTAGGTTCGTGGGGAGCATCGCCACAACCGCCAATGTATTGGCAAGGATTCTACCCACCACCTCCCAATGGTCTTCCCCAGATGCATCAACAGTCTCTGATTCCGCCCCCTCATGGGCTGACAATGCCCAGTTCTCTGCAGCAACCTCTGCAGTATCCTAACTTTAATGCCCCTACACCTACTGGTTCATCAAATTTGCCAGAACCACATTCTTTGCTGTTTCCTTTTAGCAGCAGTTCTCAAAATCTAGTACCCAGTTCTCTGCCCTTTACTGGTCTACCTATGACGCTGTCTTCAGGCCTGCAATCAACAATGCAATCAGCACCATCTCCTTCCCTAGCTTCAGAGATGGCACCTCCTTTGTTTTCGAACAATGCTCATATTTCTGTGCCTCCTACCCTTCCTCAGGATACTAACCTGCTTTCCTTTTCTGTACCGTTTACTAGAGCCACCGATACAAGTGCTGGACTTCCACTGTCTAACAAGCCTAGTGTAGTTACTGGTCCTATTTCTGTACCGCAGTCAACCTCTTTAACATCTGCTCCTGTTACTGGAGCTTCTAGTTCCGTTAGCCAAGATCAGCCAAAACCTTTGCTGATTACTCCTGGCCAACTGCAACAGTCTGGATCTGCTGTAGTCTCTTTGTCACCACCCTCTAACAACGCGGATAAAGATGTTGAGGTGGTTCAGGTATCATCATCAGCTGGGTTGGAACAATCTTCTCCAGTTACATCAGAAGCCCAACCTCCAATACTGCCATTGCCTTCCTCTGCAAGGCCAACTCAGAAGGTTTTTGATAAATTTCCAAAATTTATTTATCTACTCGTCAGTCCTTTAAATTATATCGCGGCTTCAGTTGTTGATATGGGAAAGAGCCTTGAATTATCGAGAAGCGTAATGAACACTTCACATAATATGAAATTGCATTTGTTGATGTCTGAATAACCTTGATTAACCTGTCTGTTATATTTGCACCTGTGGTAATGTCCAGTTTGAGTGCTTTTGGTATGTTGCAATAAAACAAAACTGGAGTCTTATGTGTGGTTTTCGAGTGTCCCAATTTGATTTCGGATCTTTGTCTAAAGTTTAGTTAAACCGTCCTTCAGAATTCAATGTCATTTTGAACTTTTGTAGACTTGACATGTTGTAAGATGCATTTCATTTTATATAATCTTTAGAGCTTCTTGCTCTTTGGGAACTTAATATCGTGATTCCTGATCATGGACTTAAAAAAAGTCAAACAGTTTGACTTTGAGGACAGTACCAGCAACCTCAAATCAAATGGGCCGTATAAGGAGATAGAGAAGGTCCATTATAGTTGGACCCATAATTGTCATTCATTTCACGAAACACACCACTTTTCTGCAACTTCAGATGATCGGTCAACTTTGAAGAGAGAATGAGAATGGGAAGTGATTCGCTTGTCTTGTCTGCGAGACTCTTAGGTTTAGTAATCGCAGTTGTGGTTGTGTACTGGTTTCTTTTGCTCAATTCCAGCTTCGCCCCTCGTCAAGGCTTCACATCCACGGTAATTTTCTCTCATACTCTCTCTGATTTAAACAGGATCTTTCTCTGGTCTCTCACCTTAATCAGTTTAAAATCTCTTAGACAACTCATGCTTTGCTGATGGTGATAGGCTTCGTTCTTGTAAGTGGAGAAGGTTAGTAGTGAATCGTGATCCATCTCTCTCAATCCCCTTTTTGAACATTTCATCTCTTTCTTGAATATTTTAATTAGACTAATTAAAAATTTGATTATGCAGCGATTCTGATACACAGATGGTTGCCTGGTTCAAGGCAAACGAAGAAAGCAGTTCATCTATTGCTACAAGGAGTGGCATTAGTCTCTGCCGTGTTTGGAATGTGGACAAAGTTCCATTACCAATCAGGAATATTATCTAATTTCTACAGTCTTCATTCTTGGATGGGTTTACTCTCCGTTTCTCTCTTCGCTCTCCAGGTATGGATGATTCATCTCATAGAATAAAAAAAAAAAGAAACTATTAGATGCTTTTCAAGAATTTTAAACTTGTATTTCAAGAACGCTAGATTAAACATAGTTCTATTTGTTAAGAAACCTGACAAGATTCCCTCTATAAAGTTTAATTATTCGTATTAGTATTAAACTGATAGAGAAAGCATCTATTACTGCAACACTTCAATCTGTGCGCTACTTGTGTCTTTTAACTTACCAGTATTTAACAAACTGTCTCTCAGTATTTGGCCGAGAACAAGACTACTGTGGTTTTAGAGTATTTTTTAGTAATAAAGACGTTGTGTTGCAGTGGGTGACTGGGTTCTTGAGCTTCTGGTATAAAGGAGAAGCACCGGAAACGAGAAGTACGTTTCTTCCATGGCACGTCTTTCTCGGACTCTACATCTACTGTCTAGCCATTGCGACCGCTGAGACCGGGATACTTGTGAAGCTGACACACCTTCAGACCAATAGAAACGTCCCTAGACGCTGTGCTGAATCATTGATCCTCAATGGTGTAGGACTCGGCTTGGTTCTACTATGTGGCCTTGTTATAAGAGCGGCTGTTTTGCCAAAGTATCAGAGCCATTCTTCTGGTAATGAGAAACTCGTTTATTCATCTCAAGACCGTCCCAAATGTTTGGCTTCTTGACTTCTCTTTTTCTCAAATTTTTGTTTTGTATTTGAGGGGACAAACTTAACGTCTCTGGTATACGCAAAGGAACAAATTAATTCTTTTATAAATGTATTGCACATTGTGATGATGATACTTCTGTCCAGAATCTTGGATTTAACAGACATAGGATTATTTGGGTCCAATGCAAGAAATTTCTAAACCTGTCTGGATCTCTTAAAGTAGAAGCACGAGTGTGCAGTTTACAAAAATCCATATAGTTAAAATTCAGAGCTCGTTAGTTCTATGCATTGAGAACAGAATAGATAGATGACTTTGGTCTTGTTCATTTTTAACAGTCAGTTCTGGTAACTATATTGTAATGAGTCAACTATACATGGTTTGGATCTCACACCAATCTGTTAAAAAATATACATAGCTGGATGAGCAAGTTACCATCTTAAAGAGTAACTGCAAAATTGCAAGTACTGTCTACTCCTATCTACTCAAGTGATTAGTGGAAAGAAGACTTACAAAGTACATCATTTACTGAACAAGTAGATCGCAACAGTTGTAATGAGTGAATGGAAATAAAAAGCAAATAAAATGCAAGAAAAAGTAAGATTTTGATGTTGGGATATGAAAACAACGAATTAAAAAAATCTTTATTAGTATATGAAAAGCACATAGAAAGCTGATTAACACCTTTTTCAAAAAAAAAGCTGATCAATAGTACACACTAATGGTTTGCTTTATGGTTGGATGATGATGATAATAAAAATCCAATAATCCTTTCCAACGGAACGCCCATCATCTTGTGTTGTGTCGCATACCATTAATCTTAATGAATTTCAAATAGCATAAACCCATGATTAACAAAAAAGCTTATTAATTAGTAGACCCATCAAAGATATTACAACCGTTGATCACACTACGATGATGGGAGTCAACGCAAAGTCGCGTCTTAGCGAATAACTTCCATCACTATTATTACAAAACATAAAAACTGGCGCCTATCTATCTATCTCTCTCCACTACCCAGTGATCTCCGGGAAGGACCTAAAGATTTTTATATTTTCTCTTAAAATCCTTTTTTTTCTTTCTCTAACTAAAAGCGAAACAGTATTAAACCGGACTCGAGTTAATAGTTAGTATCTATTCATCGATTAGGGTGTCGAGAAAGCTTCAAACCCCAAAGGCTTTTTCGGACTCGTCTTCTCTCTTTTCCTGATCGTTCTCTTCATCGAGCTCTAATGGCTGGGTAAAGCACTCTCTTCCACTACAGGGCTCTGGATCATTGAGTTTTTTTAGCTTTACCTAATTACGGTTTCTGTCGATTTCAATCGACAAAGTAGACACAAAAGTTTCAAGCTTTTTTTTGGTTTTCGATTTTGTAATGAGCTCTGTAATAAGCGGGAAAGAGGTTAGCTTTGAAATCTACATTTGGATCATTCATTAAAAAAAAAAATGGATTCTTTTTGAAGCTTACAGTCATATGAATATGAATTTCGTAAAGTTCATACTTTTTTTTTACAGCTAATTAGCATTTACATGTATAAAGTTTACAGCTTTGCATTTTCTGGAAGTAGATATTCTCATTGGGTTTGTTAAGGTGGAACGGACAATAGACACAAGTATTCTGCAGAATGAAATATGTTTTGTTTTTATATATGACCCATGTCTTTCATTAGACCTATATCACCGTTTTTTATAATAAGATACTTGTTGTGCCATGTGTATAAAATTATATTGAACTACCAATGGATGTTGTCTTTCTTGTTTGTATGCAGACAAACATGGCTTGTAGATAAACACCGTCTTGCAACCAAAGTTTTGAGTGGACCAGACCCTAACCGAACTGTTTGGAACACCAATCCTACAAGACTCTGTCCCAACTGTCGTCACGTCATTGACAACAACGATGTACACTCTTTTCGTTTCCTTTTGATGTGAATACTGTATTTCTATGTTGTTTTAGTAAAATACTTATGTACATTTTTACAGGAAGTTGATGACTGGCCAGGTTTGCCACGAGGTGTGAAATTCGATCCAACTGATCCAGAGATCATATGGCATTTGCTTTCAAAATCTGGTTCATTGGGTTTAACTCCCCATCCTTTCATTGACGAGTTCATCCCAACCATTGATCAAGACGATGGAATCTGTTACACACATCCTAAGAACTTACCAGGTTTACCACTGCTTGTCTTCTTTCTGTTTTTTTTTTCTTAGTCTCTTTACTCAAGAGATTGAAATCTTCTCTTTAGGTGTTAAGCATGATGGGACCATGTCACACTTCTTCCATAGAGCAATCAAAGCTTACAGCACGGGAACTAGGAAGCGTAGAAAGATTCACGACGATGATCTTGGCGATGTGCGCTGGCACAAGACTGGAAAAACCAAAACTGTTGTGTTGGATGGTGTTCATAGAGGTTGCAAGAAGATAATGGTTTTATACGAAGGGAAAGCTGTGAAAACGAATTGGGTGATGCATCAGTATCATTTGGGAACGGACGAAGATGAGAAGGAAGGTGAGTATGTAGTTTCTAAGATATTCTATCAGCAGCCACAGCAGCAAGGAGTTCTCAAAAAAGGTGGTGAGAAAGCTGAAGAGGAAGTCTCTGAAGATATCTTTGCTGCTGCTACAACTCCTAAAGCTGATCCTGTTACTCCGAGATTGTTTACACCTGACCCTAGTAGACAAGCTGTGCGGCTTTGCTCAGATTCTCACTTTGCAAATGACTATGCCACACCTCATGATGACTATGCAACTGCACATGAGGTTTCTCTTACTGAGGTAAGTTTCTTAGTTTGTTTCTTTGTAAGTATATTACTTATTGCTAGTTCACTGATTGTTTCCTTTGCTTCATGGTACCTAAGACATCCGAGGCAATGTATATGGAAAATGAGGTTCAAGAGGCTCACCGTGATCATGAAAGACCAAGTTCCGAGGATGATCATGCGCCTGCGACAGGGATTGAAAACCGAGAAAATGAGATAATGAGAAATGATAAAGAAGAAGAAGAGAACGATGAAGAAGACAGAGAGACTAATAAAGAAGGTGAAGAAAACGAAGCTGAGGAAGAACAGAATTGGTTGGACAGTGGTGGATCTCAATTTATATTGAACTCCCAACAGCTTGTGGAAGCCTTGTCTCTTTGCGATGATCTCTTGCAGGTGGGTTCACAGGACACAAACAATGGAGGAGGTTTGAGGAATAAGCAGCCATGTTTTGGTGATTACGCACACTTAGGAACAGATGACTTTAAACGTGATCTGGAGGATTGTCAGAAACTGGTTCTTGATCCTTCAAACATAGATCTTGATACTCCACCTGAGTTCCGTTTGAGTCAGCTGGTAAAAACTTATAATAATCCCTTTCTTCTCTTTAAAACTTTCATCTTGTAAAAGCTCAAATGGGTTTTGATATGTATGTTCAGGAGTTTGGATCACAGGAGAGCTTCCTCGCTTGGGGAACTGGAAAGATTGACTGACAAAACAGAACTCCCGCGAGATATGGAACTCACTGAATTTTTTTTGGTTGGCAAAACGGTGCTGTATGATATTTTCCTTATGCGCCTCAAGTGTTTGAGTTCATATTGTTTTTCGTTTTCGGAGTTGGAACAACTACTTTTGAACTTGTCACTGATACTTACAGTTACAGTGGTTGTCCTTTTGTAAATGTCTCTGATATTTTCCTTATGCGCCTCAAGTGCTTACTCTCCCTTGGAAACCTTTTATTCTAAGACCTTGTTTTCTCTGAAGTAGCTGATTGATTGTGAGTTTCTGGGAGGTTCGTTTACGCCTGAGTATCTGATACACAACAGTCACTTTCCAGTGCATATACAAGCTTGATTGTGGTGATTTATGTGGAATTGGTATATAACCTTTGTCAAAGATACTAGTATAGCTTTGGAAAGTTGCAAGTATTGTAAAGTAATATCAAGGACTACTAATTAGTCATATCTACACTTATGCACATCCTCCCTATGGGATCCACACTTTCTCCAGCTTGGTTAATCTCATTCGTTGTTATGGGGATTGTTTGCTCAAGGAAGCGCATTTCTCTTAGGTTTTGTTTCTCAGTAATATTATATTTTAGAATACGCTGCTATGAACATGTGTAGTACACGTGCAGACAGCAGGTTTGCCCGAGTGGTTAAGGGGGAAGACTTAAGTTCTTCTGCACATAAGTGCGCGTGGGTTCGAACCCCACAGCCTGCATTATACATTTTTCAAAATGTTTTGATTGAAATCAGATAACTAAACTGTATAACCTAGGGTCACATTCGACTAGTAAAAATGGGAATCATCAACAGACTTTTTCTTTGGATTAACAGCAAAACTCTTGTTTTCTCTTTGATAATTTCCACAATATTGATCTTACTATTTTCTTTGGGACAATATACTTTCAAGATTTTAGGGTGTGTGAGACATTGTAAAAAAAGTTGAACCAAAGAAACTAATTAAACCCATCCTACGCTTCTAGATGTCTACGACAGAAATCAGTAACAAATTAAGTAAAACATGACTGGAATCTTAAGCCAAAGATCACATTAGATGAGTGCAGTAACGTAATTTATAATGCATTGACTTGTCCTAGTCATTAGCATAAGATACCAAAATTACAAAAAATTAAAATAAAATAAAAAAACAAAAAGATACCAAAATATGTTATGGAATCAATGAAAGTGGATGGAGTTATTCTTTGTCACCATTTGGTTGGGTTATCTTGTCTACATTTCCAGCTATCAAGCAACCCAAGAAAAAGAACTTTTGTTTTCTCTGATAATTTCCCTAAGATTTATCTTACTATTTTCTTTGGGATAATCTACTTGCAAGATATTAATTTGAACCTTTGAACTTATTTTTTGGGCGTGGGACATTCTAATGTGAAAGGAGCTAAACCCATCAAAGACTCCTCGATTTGTATGACATAAACCATTTAACTAATTAAGTAGAACATAACTGGAATCTTAAGCCAATGATCATTAGATGAGTGCACTAACCTAATTAATAATGCATGACTTGTCCTAGTGATTAGCATAAGATACCAAAATATGTTATGGAATCAATAAGAGTGGATGGTGTTATTCTTTGCACAATTTATTTGGGTTACTTAGGGAAATGCCGACAATCTTGTCTATATTTCCCTCTATCATGGCAACCCAAGAAAAGACTCAACTTTAAATCCAAAAGTGTATAATATATTCGTAAACAAAACGGAACTTGATGGGTAGTAGTTGTATTTGATGTAAAGGGAGGGCCA